CGGGGCCGGGTCTCCTGTTGGGACACAGCAATCGTTCCACAATGGCAGGACATGGTATTACCCTCTCCAGAACCCTTTAGAACCAGCCTTCTATTTTTCTGCTCTACATCGAAGGGTGTCATTTATGGAAACACCCACTTAGAAAACTCAGAGACACCAGGCCTTTCCCCACGGTTCAGATAAAGCGTCCTCCACCAATCTCAGCAAAGCAGAAAACTAAATTTGCAAAGAATTTGCCATCTCCCTTGCTGATCCCTATCCTGACTCCCTGTTCTGGTTTGATGCCAGATGGTGGTGTCCTGATTTTGGGGTGCGCAGAGTGTGTTAAGCAAAGCCACCGATTAAACACTCTGTCTTTGCTGTCGTCTTCCTTCGTCAGCATCACCGGTGGGTGGAAAAGCGCCCACTGATCTCAGCAATGACAGATGGCTAGACCCACAGCATTTACTTTACCAGGAAGACATCAACACACCCATCAGTGGCAGCCCTGTGAGGTAGTCTAGCCAGGAAACCGAAACCATGAATACTAACACTACCCTTATTGTAAGGTTATGGGACAGAATCTTGCAAGTCTGAAAGCACGTCTCTTTAGTTTCCAGAGAATGAGGGAGGGTCCCTTCTGGAATGCTTTCTCCACCCCCATTCCTTCTGTGGGCTGAGATATCTCTTGCCTAGTTGCAACTCCGACAGCCCATTATGATCAGCTATAAGTGGCTCGTTTTAAGATGGGGTGTAAGGCTATAAACTCATTTACCGAGTAGCTTCACCACCCCCTGATTTAGAAAAAAGAAGGGGGGCAGGAGAAAACGGTCTGGAGCCTAGCAGAGGGGGCATGCTCAGCACCAGCCCAATGATCAATAGGTGATGGGCTCATCCCGGCCCTTATGGATCTGTATCACCGTCAAACTGGTACAAATGGTCCTCATCCTTAAACTAAACTGGAACAACTCAGGATGAATTAAGCCTGTTGCAGTCATGAGCCGAAGATGACATGAAAGCAGTGCCAGAGAGACGTGGCATAATAAAGAGATTAGAGCCCCATTTGATATAAATAAAAGTTTGCAAAAACATGGGTTCTGTATCACAGGTGTAAATCAGGAGAAAGGTCCATTCCTTTAGATTTCCAAGCCAGGTGGATTAGGACTACAGCTCCTGGAATTCCTATGCTTTAGACCAGGGGCAAGTAATATTTTATGCATGAGGCCACATTTATTTTTCTAATCTTTTCAGTGGCCCAGGAGCACAGAGGCGTTTGTGAATTATGGAGTGATATTACTGGAAGAGCAAGGGCAGCATTTTTAATGTTCTTAATCAATTTGGAAGACTGGGGACCTTTAAGTACAGCAGCTTGATAAACCTACTGGGATTTAAATTCATTTTTTCTGCTGCTTTTCTGTTTTTTTAAGCAAATTGTACATTCATGCCACACGATTCTCTTTTTGCAAGTGAACTTCAAAAGCACAATCACGGCTTAGCTCCAGAGCCATCAAATAGGTGCTGGGGCGTATTTGACCAGTCCATTAGACAAAATTGTTCTGCAAAGGACTGGTGAAAAACTTTTTTAAAAAGGGGATGAATAGACATATATTCTTTCTCCCAGTTCCGTCAAGTGATGAGAAGATCAGAGAAAACTGCAGAATTGATCGGCTGTGTTCCTATAACATGCTTAACCAAGCCAGGTAAAAACTTAAAAGATGCTTTAATACACCATGTGAAGCTTGGCTGATGTTAACCTTGACTGGAGATTTGTGTGTGTGTGTGTGTGTGTTTTAACATGTTCACAGAATAACAGAATATAATATTTCAGATCATCTAGTCAACCCCTAGCCCATTACAGGAGTCCACAGCAATGGCCGTCTTACCAGGCTGTCATATTTAGTCAGCTTATCATTCTATGCATTGTGCACACCCAGAAAAATGCAAACACTGTCTGCAGACATAGATAAGTTTTTAATCCCACTATAGACATTGTAGGATTAAACACTAACACTATTGCTGTGTTAATCTATGGTTGTTGTTTTTTTCCAGTGCCCAAGTCTAGTCTATAGTCCTGGGATATCTTTGTGGTCTCCCCTCCAAACACTAATCACATCAGACGTTGCTTAGCTCTCGAGGGGGAAACAGCCAAGCTGGTGAGTGCTACCACCTGCAATTCCTTGGCCAGTCTAGAGCGGTAACAGGCAGGAAAGATTTCGAAATTTGTTTATTCTTCATAGGTTCTTGTTTCTGTACAAGACTTGAGAAGAATGGCTCAAATAGTACACATTTTAGGGAAAACTTCCCGATGCAAGTTTGTCTTGGTTGTTACAAAGTTAGGAGACTGCGATTGCTGACAATTTCTTGCAAGAAAAACAATTCACACTTAGAATATTACACACCAATCTCTGCAGAAAGCTTGTCCGTCTTGGGACTCTCCGTGCAACCTGCAAAAGAAGAGAGACTGTGATGCAGTATGTTTTCTGTTAAAAATGGAAACCAAGAAGTTCTGCAGAATTCAGAACAGCAACTTCCAAACTTTCTGCTTGCCAGAAGCCGTTTCTGCACCCTTATGCTGGCCGCTCAGCCTCCATTAGTGATGAGGGGGAATTTGGGCCAGTTTGCATCTGAATATAAACTGATATAATTTCATAGTATTTTACCAATACACTTGCTGAACAGAGTTATTGTTCAAAATGTAGACTTTTCCAAGTTTTGCAGTTTGTTAGGTTATTAAAAATATATATTAGAAGAAAACCGTCCAGAGTCGCTGGGGGTCAGGTGGCATATACATTTAATAAATCATTATTATTACAGATAGTCCTTGCTTAGCAACTACAACTGGGATTGGCAACTCAGTCTCTAAGTGAAGCACTAAATTTTATGATCTGATTTTAGCTTTCCTTTGTTTTACAGACCTGCAAAAGTCGTAAATGTGAGGATTGGTCGTAAAGTTACTTTTTCATCACCGTCGTAACTGCGAATGATTGCTAAATGAGGCAGTTGCTAAACAAGGACTTCCTGTATTATTATTTATTAAAACCTGTACAAAAATGCACCATTTCATGAAAGTAATGTACAGAAATGCCTTATTTGAGGAATATATATCTGTATCTATATATATATTACACACATGCACGCACACAAATTATGTCCATTTCAATAAAATGCCTATATTTGAAAAATAAGCACCAAAATACATCTATATTATTGTGCAAACTCTTTTATAAAAATTCTCAGATCCAACTAAAAGAACTAGAGAGATTCTCAAAAATGAGAAATAAGACAGAATCTGAAACGGACACATTTCCCCATTCCTGTTCTGTATATTCTCCAGCATTCTCCTCCTATTTCCCAGTGAAGTGGTACTGAAATGAAAATTGCCACCAATTCTGGTTTTCGTATTGAATCTCTGAGTTTTCTCTCCCCGGGTACTTGACCTGTCAACTTCCTGCCTTGCGAAGCTTGTAACAATCTCTTTTTCATGCTATTTAATTCTCAATAAAGACTATATTATTGGGTAGGGCACTTGGTCTAATGGAGCCATTTCCTCCTCTCTCCTATTAGGGCAGTGCTGCCTGATTTGAATGTTTAACTTCTGCATCTCTTTTTCTATCCAGGGTTTGTTTGGGTGGGAATGCTGTTAGCTGGTCTGAACGTTCCTTAAATGGAACCCAAAGTGTGGGCTATAAATATTTAGATTACAAAACTCCGACACAGCCGTGTGCTGCCAACATGGCCCGGTTCCTTCTTGAGCACGGAGTTCAATTATCCATAGGCTCACACCCGCACGTGCGCTCTTCCCTTGCAGGCCACGACAGTCCCAGATCAAAGAGGCGGAAAGCACCGCGTTGCCAAGGCACCTCCAGGTCGTCCGCCGGGCTGAATGGTGAACGTGCAGAAGCTGAGTGAAAAAACGCAAGACCTTCGTCTCACAGCCAAGCTGTCTTTGGAGAACAGGGAGGGGAAAAAAACCAGGAAATGTTTGAGCTCACAAAGTTCTTGCTACTGTAACCCACGCTCTAATCACAACATGGTTTGCTTGCAACGAAGCAGTAGGTGAAGTGGGCTTCTACCTGTAAAAACTCTCAGATATCAGTTTACGGGGAGAGGCATCCCTAGCCATTTTTTGAATAATGTATGATGGTTGACAATCCATTTCCCCAAAGCAGCTTACAGTATTGCTGGTTCACAAGAAGCTTTTGACCCTGGACTGAAGGGTGACATTTACACAACCTCTTGATTTGGTTAGTGAATTAACCCACTTTTGGAGTTTGTGCAATCATCACCAAGCTAAAGGGGTTGGATTCAAACAGTGAGCTAAGCCCGCAAAAACAAACCCCGAGTTTAACCCCAAATCAAAATTAGCCGGTGTGAATGCATTTGCTAGGGCTTTCACAAACCAGGTTAAGCTCATAGTGTGAATACTGCCAGTTTGGGAGGGTGGGGTGGGAGTGGGGTTTCAGATGCTAGGCAGGTGGTTTTAGGGGAGAGATGTGCAAGTGTGGGTAAGCATCATTTTGTTTGTGAAGATGCACCGTGTTGAGGAGGAGAGAATCACCACAGAAACACCCATGCAAATAAGAATTCCACCAGCTGTAAACGTGAATATGCCCTACAGCTAGACTGGGACCAGCCCAGGTTCTTGCATTTCTAGAAGCCTTTCCCCATTGCTCAACAGAAGTCTTCTCCACCCAGGCTGGAGTTGGCACGGAGTCCTTTGAAAGGAGTTACGGCATCGGCAGCTTCATTCGGCCCCCTTCTTGCTGAGCAGAACAGCAAGTGAAGTGGGCCACCAGCAATTTGTGGGCACGAAAGTGAAAATGGGGTGTCTGCCCACTCCATTGCTCTGCCCCCGAGAGAGCACCCTGGGGTCTTCTCAAGCCAGCAGGGCTTTCGGGCGTGCAGGTCCACCCCTGGGCTTCCAGAGCTCCATATCACCCCACGGGACATTCAGGCCAACAGAGGCACCGTGGCACATGGGGCTGTGTCTTCTGTTACCATAGTATTGTTTCTTTCTCTTTTTCTCTGACATTTGTCACCCCCACTGCCAACCCCCCTTGCCTCTGTTCCCAATCACTGCAGCCCTCGGCCTTTCTGAAAAGGTAATCGGGGACAAAGTTTATTTAAATGCATTTATTTATGAAATTGACAAGGCTGTCCCGCTCATTATATATGACTCTGGGCAGTGTGTGCATTTTACGGCCACTGCTGGATTTAACACCCTTAAAGCTAAGCACAACTTAATCCTGTCTCCCTCATAGGCTGGGCACGAGAAGAAGGCAACGTCATGGAGATAGGGCAAAGAAAAAAGAAAGAGAGAGAAATGTTAGTGGGGCATCTTTGTGCCATGTGCTGGATACATCATCCCCCTCCACCACCCACTTTCCTGGTGCAGAATAGGGGAGGGATCACCTGGTGTCCTACTTTCCATCCCTATTCTGCAGCCATTATGTACAGAAAAGGGTTAAAACTGGAACAAAGGCCACGCCCTTTGGAACCTTTTATGCTAATTAGCCACAGGCTTATTCCCAGGGGCTCTGGGAATTTTTGCCCCCTTCTGATAGAGCTTTAGAGCAGTGTTTTTCAACCTCAGCAACTTTAAGTTGTGTGGACTTCAATTCCCAGAATTCCCCACTTGGCTGGGAAATTCTGGGAGCTGAAGTCCACACATCTTTAAGTGGCTGCGACTGAAAAACACTGCTCTAGAGATATACAGATCATATCCATTCTTGCCTGTTAATCATGTCTTTCTCTCTATTTTTGCCTGCTTTTATTCTGATTTTGCCAGTTAACTGCTTTTGATGTGTGCCGGTGTTTAATAAACAAACAACAAGCTGTACTTTTTGCTAGCTGAACCGAGTGGCCCATGGCTTGCTCTGATCTGAATTCAGGAACCGACTGGGAGTGCGCGGGGTGCAGACCAAACGGGAAATTATCCAGAGCGATTTTCCAACAAGATGCAGGGGAGGAAAGGTCTTATGCCCAGCCCATGGGTTGCTGCTGAAAACACTTTCTGCTCATCAAACAATCTCTATTAATGTGGAAGCGGCTTTGTCTCTGGAGCCCCTGAGCTAGCAGATTCAACTGCACATCATGTTAACCCTGGTTAGCGTTAATCTTGGCTAGTTTCTTTGGTGGTTTAGTCTGCTTCGGGAAGCCAGCCAATTTAGGTGGCTTGGGGTGAATATTTAGTGCAAATCCATTCCAAAGTGAGCAAATGGTGCGGATGAAACATGGAATCGATGAAGTTTCTTTAGGAAAGCTTCATAGGTAATGTGGACATTGAGGGCTTTCAGCTCAGCTTAACAGGACTGGGTAACCCGCTCAGCTCCGATAATAACATATGATATGTTGGTTCCTGGAAGCTAGAAGTCTTCAGACTTTTTCAGGCCACAGAACCTCTGATCAAGAGGCCAAGCTCGAGTGATGGAAATGTGGCAGTCAAACGAAACCGGTGTATTTTATGCAACTTTATGTATGACAGTTGTTTGACAAATCACAACAAACAAATGCTCCGAGGGCTGCTCCCACAATCATTGTAAAGATCATCGGCAAAGTCAATGCAACATTAACTTCTCCTTTGTACAAAGATTAAAACTTGGATTTCACCGTTACTGGGGGAGGGGGGGAGTTAATGTTTTAGCCAAGCAAATCGGGGTTAAGGGGTTGGGGGGGATTGCTTCTCCTTAGGAAAATAGCTATGCATGCCTCTGGCTGTGTTTGAATGGCTGGCTGGGGAATTCTGGGAATTGAAGTCCACACATCTTCAAGTGGCCAAGGTTGAGGAACACTGTGCTAGTCTCTTGCAGAACTCCATCCAGATCCTATAGAAGCCTAGGAACACACTTTGAAAACCCCCCTTGTAAGCGAGAGAGATTTGTGACTTGCCATTTCCTTCTGCAAAATGAACAATCGCCTGAGCTTTGCAGCGTACGAAAAAGGGGAGTTGAAGGTACGCATTTTTCTCTGCATCCCCACTGCTTTGGGGTTTGCTCGCCCGGAGAGACGATTTTATGAGGGCTTCCACGAAGCTTCAAATGCTAAGGCGCTGGAGCAAAAATGAAGCCTTCTCTCGTGCCAAAACATATGTGACCTCTTGCAAGCGTTTCCACTCGTTTTTGGACCAAAAAGGAGTGAAGAGCAAAAGGCAGTGACTCAGATTTCAAAAGGGGTGGATGGAATTGAGCTGCTATCATCATCATCATCATCATCATCATCATCATCATCATCATCATCATCATCAGTGGTATTTACAGTAGAGTTGCGAATTGCAGAACAATTACGTTTGCTGTAGGAGGGATCCCCACCCCTGACAACTAGAGAATGCAATGCAAGACACATGCAATGAATTAGAGGAAAGCCTGAGGGCCCCTTTTCAAACTAACAGGAGGCTGAAAAGGCATGATCAGACTCCTTCTGCTTTTGGGCAACTGTAGGCTAACCA